CTCTCTGCTCCTTGTGGTCTCCCAGGCTCCCAGGCTCCTTCCCCTCCTGGGCTCTGTGTGTGAGAGGAGTAAACAGGAAGTGATGTCACGTCCGGTCCCCGCCTCTCCCATCACAGAGAGCACCGCGCGGACAGGAAGCAGGAGACCTGGCAGAGAGGAGGTGAAGCTGCCAGGTCTCATGGGAGGAGGGAGGGGGGTGGATTTAGAGAGCGGTAGGCTGTGGGGCCCCCCGCGCTGCATCAGGGGCCCCACAACCTATCATTTAAATAGTTTTATTTATTTTTTTGTTCCAGCTGGAGAGATCAGAGATATCTCCAGCTGGAACAAAAAAATAAATAAAACTATTTAAATGAGCATGGCTGTGCCGTGCGGCCGGGCCCCTGACTGTCTCGGGCCCTCGGTCCATGACCGATATGCCCGAGTGGTCAGTCCGCCCCTGCTGGTAGGTGTGCCTTGAGGACTGGGTTGGGAAACACTGGTTTGGAGCACACCAGCCTCTTGTTCTGGAGCACCTATCTGGAACAGTTCTCCATCACTGGTAATGTGTGGTGTGAAGTCCTCTTTTTACTGCAGGGAATGAACATGTCCGCAACATGAATGTTTAATGCATACTTTTTATCTTTAACAGTGTAAAGTGAGCACCGTGCAAAACAAGGTGAATCAACTTCAAAATGAACAAAGGAGTAAAAATACTCCTTTAAATGCTCTCCTTAACCCCTTAAGGACCAAACTTCTGGAATAAAAGGGAATCATGACATGTCACACATGTCATGTGTCCTTAAGTGGTTAAAGGGACACTATAGCCATCAAAACAACTTCAGCTTGATGAAGTAGTTTTAGTGTATAGGTAATGTCTGCAGTTTCACTGCTCATTATTCTGCCATTTAGGAATTAAATCACTTTTGTTTCTGTTTATGCAGCCATAGCCACACCTTTCTGGCTGTGAATGACTCAGCCTGCATGAGAAAAAAAATCAGATATTAACTTGCTTTAGAAGTTTTTATCCACTACTCTGTAAATTGAATTTTAATCACAAATGAGGCTCGTGCAAGGTCTAGAAGGCTATTAACAGATCAGGAGATAAGAGATTCTAAATTCAACAGAATGTGCAATAAAGGAAGTTTAAACATTAGATCTATCTTTACAGGAAGTGTTCAGGAAGGCTGTGCATGCGATAAACAGGGAAGTGTGACTTAACTCCTCAATTCTTCAGGGGTATGATTTATACCCGAAAACTGCTTTATTAAGCTAAAGTTGTCATGGTGACTGTAGTGTCCATTTAAGGAGAGTATTGTCATTTATACACCTTTTGTTTATTTTGTGGATGGTTCCCTTTCTTTTGCACTTTATTAGTAGTGTAATTGTTTATAGAAGCACCTGAGCACGTTCTTTTTGTTTTGCTATCTTTACTGGCATGGAAATTATACCAACCCGAGGGATCCGCATATACAGTTATCATATCCCCTGCACACTGGACTGAATTTTCACTTGCCAGTGCTGAATTTTTACTTTGGCTAGTGGGTAAATGGAAATTTTGAGATCTGACAAAAAGACTGAGAGATTGAGTTTACTTGATTTATTTGAGGAAGACAGGGTGGACTGAGCACTTGGGCAAATCGGTCATGGACTGAGGGCCCGAGTCTCTTGGAGGCCCGTCCGTGGTGCTGTAAGTAATGGCTCAGCTGGGGAGTTCAACAAGCTTCCCAGCCAGCATGCACCCAGCCTCACGCCCACCTTAGGACCCCTGTACCTACCCAAGTGCATTCCCCCTTTGTTAAACTACACTGCAGTGGCAGTTCCAGCGTAGCACACTGAGGGGCAGCTAATGGAGCCTTCTCAAAGACCCTCTAGACTGCCTCTCAGTGTGCCTGTCTCAAGGAGAGAGAAATAGACCCGACATGCATGCAGCTCCGTGCAGCTTATTCTCCAAGAAGTGACATCATGTGTCACAATGCTGCTGTTCTGAGCTGCCTGATCAGTACTGTATGCTTTGCGCCCCCCCCCTGGCCGGACAGAACACCAGTGAGGGATTTTCAGGCCAGCAGGAATAGGGATACCCTTCCCTGGATAAAGGTGAGACTCAGGGTGGGGGGAATAAATTATTTAAACATGTTTTTATTATCTAATTTACCATACTACTGCTCCTATCCCTCCATCCCCCTACGAACCAAATCCCCTATACCCCACTACACTAACTACAACTCCTATTATCCTCAGGTACCCACTACAACCCCTCCGCTCATGCACCCACTACAGCTCCACCCCCTGCATCCTCTCCAGCCCCTGCCTCAGGCACCCACTTCATCCCCTAACCCACCAAATCCTCTAGAGCCCCTGCACCCTCTACAGCCCCTACCCTCCTGCACCTACTACAGATACTAATACCCACAGGCACCCTCTAGAGCCCCTATACATTCTGCACCCTTACAGCCCCTTCTTCCAGATAACTTCTAGAGGCCCTGCCACCCTACACCCTCTACAGTCCCTAGCCCCAGACACATACTAAAACCTCTTACCCCCTGCAACCTCTACAGCCCCTACCCCCTGCACCTTCTACAGCCCCTACCCTCCTGCACCTACTACAAATGATTGTACTCCCAGGCATCCTCTAGAGCCCCTATACCTCCTGCACCCTTACAGTCCCTTCCTCCAGACACCCTCTAGAGCCCCTGCAACCCTACTCTCTCTATCCCCTTACACCCTCTACAGTCCGTATCTCCTTTCATCTTCTACAGCCCCTACCCCCTATACCCATTACAGCCCCCATCCCCATGCACCCTCTACAGCTCTTAACCCCCAGCACTCTCAACAGCTCTAGTCCAAGGCATCCACTACAGCCCCCATCCCCCTACACCCGCTACAGCCCCTACCCCCTGCACCCTCTACAGCCCCTACCCTCCTGCACCTACTACAAATGATTGTACTCCCAGGCATCCTCTAGAGCCCCTATACCTCCTGCACCCTTACAGTCCCTTCCTCCAGACACCCTCTAGAGCCCCTGCAACCCTACTCTCTCTATCCCCTTACACCCTCTACAGTCCGTATCTCCTTTCATCTTCTACAGCCCCTACCCCCTATACCCATTACAGCCCCCATCCCCATGCACCCTCTACAGCTCTTAACCCCCAGCACTCTCAACAGCTCTAGTCCAAGGCATCCACTACAGCCCCCATCCCCCTACACCCGCTACAGCCCCTTCACCCTGCACCCTCTACAGCCCCTACCCCCCTGCATGTATTACAGATACTAGTACCCCCAGACAACCTCTAGAGTCCCTATACCTCATGCACGCTTACAGCCCCTTACTCCAGACACCTTCTAGAGCTCCTGCCACCCTATACCCTTTACAGCCCCTACACCCTCAACAGCCCCTGTCCTCCTGCACCCTCTATGACCCTAATCCCGCTGCACCCTCTACGGCCCCTATCACCCTACACCCTCTACAGCCCCTATCCCCTTGCACCCTCTACAGCATCTATCCCCTTGCACCCTCTACAGCCTCTATCCCCCTGCACCTTCTATGGCCCCCTATCCCCCTACACCCTCTACAGCCCCTATGCAACCTCTAGAACACCCTCTATAGCCCCTACCTCCCAGCACTCTCTACAGCTTCTATCCCCATGCACCCACTACAGCTCCTACCTCCCCCACACCCTATGGAGACCCTATAGCCTCATGCACCCACTACAGTCCCTACCCCTATGCACCCACTACAGCCCCTATTCCAGGCACCCAATACAGCTTCTATTACCCCCATGCACCTAATACAGACATTACCCTCATGCACCCACTACAACCCCTGTTACCCCATGCACCCAATACAGCCCCTTTTACACCTATGCACCCACTAGAGCCCCTATCCATTCCTGTGTCCACTACAGTCCCTATGTCCTTTAGCACCTACTTCAGCTTTAATGCTCCCACACACACCACAGCCTCTATCCAACTTGGACACACTACAGCCTCTATATCCGCAACACACAGTAGAGCCTCTATTATCCATATACACACACATACTACAGCCAACCCCCAGATGTCTACTACAGTATCATCATGAAAACACTGTATCTATCCAGGGCCAGATTAAGAGCCCAGTGGTCCTGGAGCTGACAATTATGATGGGCCTAATTACAGAATCTTATCGACCAAAAACACTAAAACAACCATACTTCCCATGCATCGTGTATCTGATGGAGAAGGTGTTGCAGGGAAAGGATGCAGCTATATGAAAACACATACTCTATGCTAATCTCTCTCTAATTTATGCTTTCATCTTTCAAGTAAATCCATACCCCCTAATAGCAGTGTCCAGTAAAGCAGAAAGTCAATGGGCAGGGTAAAAGGGTGGGCCACTGACGCAAATCACGTGACCAGACCTGCCAAAAGGGGTGAACATGTTTGTCCAAAGAATTGGAAGGCCAGCCTGGCATGAATGCATGTCAGGCTGCCTGCCAATCATGCAGGCTGTCCAACTAAGGGCATACTATGCAGGCAGCACCCTGAGCTTGACATAAATGCATAAAATGATGTGCCTACTCCACGCTTTCTAAGGACTGTCCCCTAGCACTCACTTGTCCACTTGTCTCCTTACCATCTTACTAGCAGGCAGAAGTTCCTGGTATATAGTTTGAGACAGAGTAAAACTGTATGTAGTGAGTGTAAAAGAAAGGGGACATGCCACAGTGTTAGAGAAACCAAAGTCTGCATTACCTAAACTAATTTTATTGTCAGCCAGTCCGCACAAGTTTTGTTGCCATACATCCCTCTTAAGCTTCCAAACTTAAAGGGACTCTATAGTCACCAGAACAACTGCAGCTTATTGTATTTGTTCTGGTAAGTAGAATAATTCCCTTCTGGCTTTTTGCATTAAACACGGTCTTTTCAGAGAAAATAACTCCAC